GAAAATAGCACACTTTGAAATAATTTTGTTACTAATATTTATATAATAAATTTTTTTAATCATAATTTTATAGAATATATAAAACTGATTTTTAATATATATAATTGGTGAATGTGACTAGCTTATTATTTTAATTGATTTATCATATTTTATTATTTATTTTTATAAATAAAAATTTGGTGAATGTGACTAGCTTATTATTTTAATATATAATATTATTTTTAAGAATTATTAATTACTTTATCAAGATTTAAATTATAATTTTTAATTTTTTAAAATGAAACAACATCTTATAGATATTTAAATAATGTTTAACAAACAAAATTCATATCCTTGTAAATGTAGATTAGTTATTAATTATTAATTTTAAAATATTATAAAAATCATGTCCGTAAACTTTAAAAAAAATACATCAAAGCATTTTAAAATTACATAAATAATTAAAAACATATTGAAATGCAACAACTTATTAATTTATGCACTTATACCATAATATAGAAGAGCTTATTAAATGATAAAATCTCATTTATGCAGATATGCCTTTAATATCCTAACTTGATGCATCATCTTTACTTGCCATCTTTACTGCATATTTACCCTAAAAAGTTACACTTTCCCTCCTGTATCACTCTTATTTTTTTAATAATAAAATTCTTCTACCTTTTTCTAGTACTCTTATAGTGTGTTTGGATGAGGAATTTTATAAATTCAAGGAATTTTAAATTTTTGGTATTTGAATTACTTTGATTTTAATTTCTATCATTCTTAAAATATTTTGTTTGGATGAGTCAATTCAAATTTCTTAAATTTTAAATTGTTAGGTTGAATATGATAATTTGATTCCATCATAGTAAAATTGATTTTAAAATTAATTTATATGTTGAGATTTTTAAATTAAATTTTATAAAAATAAATATTAATCCATTTTTAAATATTTAATAATTTTAAAAATTAATATTAGATAATATTTAATTTGAAATTTTAATATAAGATAATATTTAGTAATTTTAAAAATATTTTTGAATATCCAATAATTAAAAGAATGAAGAGATAAGATAAAATATATAGGTAAAATAAGAAAAATAAATATGAGAAATTTCAAATTCTCCCATTATTAGGAGAATTTGAAATTCTACTATTTTAAGGAATTTCACAAATGCTTGGATTTTAAATTCTTTGTAAATTCCTCATCCAAACAAAGCATTTCACCTCCAGAAATTTGAAATTCTTCAAATAAATGAATTACCCTATATAAATTTCTCATCCAAACACACTTAGCCTTCTTTAGAGGTTATTTAGAAGATTTAATCAGGTTTACAATTTTTGTTGAGTTAACTAAAAAAATATTATAATGATAAAAAACTAAAATATATTATAGATATTAGTAATATAATGAACACATTTTTTTCTTATCTCTTTTTTTGTGAACAACTTTTTTGTAACACTTACTTTTTCTTATTTTCACGATTTTTTCAGAAATGAAAAAAAAAAAAGAAGGAACTTTACCGTGCAAGAAACAAGGTAGGAAAATGAAGAATATGAACAAATTATAGTAATAGTAAGAAGAACAACTTATGGAAGTTATATTACCTAGCTTTAGAAACAAAGCTCTAGTGACCAAATTATATGAACTCATCATCATTTCTATAATAAAGATCTTATAAATTATATTTAAGATAATTTTAATTAATTAATAGTACTAATTGTATAACAATTACTAGAGTCGATAAAAATTACAATAACATGAACTGAGTGTTGAGTACATTAGTACAATCGTTATAATTTTTATGAATAAAAAATAAATTTAGTGCATAAAATATATATTATTTAAAAAATAGTAAAATAGAAAAAATTTATTTACCAATAAAAACTTTGTTTTGAATTTAATTAGAATACGCAAACGTTATAAAGGTTTTTCATGTTACTTAATTATAAAGTTCTTATATTTATTGGTGGTAAGATTTTTTATTTTTTAATAACTACTTTAAAAATTTATATAAAACAATTTCTAATTGATTATCAGTTTAAAAATATTACATAAAAATTGAACTAATTTTTTAAAATCAAATATATTTTTTATTTTTATTTTAAGCAAAAAAGTATTGGACAAACAAATGGTGAAATGAGGTAAGACGCAGTTGGGATTGGACGGTTTATGGTGAAGAGGAGGATTTTACGATTTATGGTGAAGAGGAGGATTTTGTCGCACATGGCCAAATTGAACATTGCATCCTTTACTGCTGCACACAAAACCAAACCCGCATGGATGATGAAATTGAGAAGGGTTCCTCGTAACCCAGACTCCCCTAAGCAACAAACCCAAGAGGTTGGCTGATGAAGAAACATATTTTTAACATTAGCTAATGGAGAGGCCAATGTTGTATGACAACCATGGCAACAAGAAGACAAATGGTAGTGATTTTGGCCACAAGAGAAAAGTATCATTGTAGGCAACGGTTTAGGGACTGGGTCTTTGATCCAGATGACAGGAGGTCCACCTCTGGCTCATGTATCTTCTTAGGACCCCATGTCATATATTGGTGGTCAAAGAAGCATACTATTGTAGCCCGTTCAATGACAGATGTTGAATACAAAAGTTTAGTACCCACAACTATTGAAACCCTATGGATACAATCTCTTTTACAAGAGTTGCATGTAAACACCATTCTCTTATATTATTTTGTGACAACGTAAGTACAGTTGCCTTGTCTCACAACCCTATCCTCCATGTAAGAACCAAACACATGGAGTTAGATGTTTTCTTCCTCAGAGAGAAAGTCATTAACAACAATCTTAAGGTTCTACACATCCCATCTAACAAACAATGTGCAAATATATTAATCAAAGATTTATCTCTTACTCGGTTTCAGTATCTCCGAGACAAGCTGAATGTGTTCTTCAATCCTAATTAGCCACCTTTAGCCTGAGGGGGAAATATTAGAATAGAATGAATAAATGTACTCTTTTTTGCTTTCATTAGTTGTGTAGGTACACGTTCCTTCTAGGAGACCTACTGCAATGTAACTTACTATTTTGTTAGAAGTTAGTTACAGATTCTGATTATGTTAGTTGGATTTGTTGCCTATATATACTAGGCTGATTGTATTTCATACTCAGGATTCAAAATATACTTAGCATACAAAATTCTTCTTTCTCTCTCTCTCTAACTTAGAATCGCATTAAAACAGGAGTGGAAAGACGAAAAAGCTCTTGAAACAGGGTCTAAAAGGCCAACAAGACTCCTAGAAAAGGCTCACTTTCACTTCGGTCACCAGGTGGTGGCGCGTGTACTTTGCCATGTAAAGAGGCAATGTGTGGAGGAGCATGCAAAGGGTTTAGTCGCCACAACCACTTGGGTTGAGCGTCATGTGACAGGGCGTACTAGATTCAATGGTCGCCGGAGATATTGACAATGACATAAATTGATGGTGGCGAGAGGGTGCTAGACTGTGACAAGCAAAGTAGGTTTGGACCTGCTGTGGTACTAACTTGAGATTAAGGGTTAATGAAAAATGCTTGAGTGGGTTACATATATCCAAAATAATAATAATTTTAGGAGGGGAATAAAGTAAGCCCACTATCCAAAGAAGAGAGAAAGGACGAAAAAGCTCTTGAAATTGGGTTTTAGAGGGGCCGACAAGACTCATGGGGAAGGCACACTTTCACTTTGGTCACCAGAGGGTGGTGCCTGAGTTACACGTGCCTGACTTTGTCATGTAAAGAGGCAGTGTGTGGAGAAGCATGCAGAGGGTTTAGTCTCTGCAACCACTTGGGTTGAGTATCACATGACAGGGTATACTAGATCTGGTGGTCGCCAGAGATATTGGCAGCAACGGAAATTGATGGTGGCAGGAGGGCGCTAGACTTTGATAGGCAAAGATGGATGAGACATGCTCTAATACCAACTTGAGATTAAGGGTTAAAGAAAAATGCTTGAGTGGGTTACATATATGCAAAATAATAATCATTACAAGTTTACATAGAGAGAGAAAAGGTGAAATCCTAAAGTCTGAATATAATAAAAAAACACAACTTTATAAAAGCTGAGCAACAGATAATAAAACAGCTTTTCTAACACTCATGATGTAGAAAACTAACTGATGTTCCACCGTCTATCTAATTAACACCACATTTACCTTTCCATAGCAGGAATGCTTTTTTCAAATTTTTATTACTTCTAATCTACTTCCACAGTTGATGTTTGATGTTCCTGTTCATTTCTTCTCCTTTTACTCAGGATCCCTTGTTAAGTACTTAATATTGTTTTGCAGCTCTTACTAAGATACAGCGACCGTTGTATGTAAAGCATCCAATGATGAAATTTTCATGGACAAGAACTGAGGACAGTGATATTGTAAGTATTTTATTTCCTTGTATGGTGAAAGCATATATGTTCTTTAATGTGTTTTTTTGCATGATATGTGGTCTTCAAATCTTTCACATGATTGGATGACCTTATGATAGACGTATACCAAATCTATTGTATTTCACTATCTTGCCCTACCTCTTGCATCAGAATTTCCTATTGCACTATCTATTGAAATTTCCAAGTGATCATCTGATGGCTCATCTGGTTGCCAAAGATGCCTTTCCCCTATGACCAACATTGTTCTACTCTTCCTCTCCATGGCTAACTATTTATCACTGGGCTCTTTATCAGCTACACCAAAAGTTATATTTTGTTTGGTAAACTACTTTTAGGAGTTAGGACAGAAGGAAAGTGGAAATTAGCTAGGAAGGGTTAGAACAGTTAGTTTTAGGTGATCAATTACATAAGGGTTAATGGTGTTTATAGTCCCTGAAAATTTTCCAAATTTTGGTTTTGGCATGACTTAAAATTAATAGTTTTTGTCCCTGTATTTTTTTCAAATACCCAAATTTAAGTCCTTAAGGCTTACACTTTTTTCCTTTTATACAGATACAGAAGTTTGGGAATTTCAAAAAATGAAAAAATATAGGGAATAAAACCAATGTGTTGAAAGTTTTGAGGACAAAACCAAAATTTAGAAAATTTTCGAAGAATAAAAGCGCCATTAACTCATTAGATAAATAGGGGAATGAAGGTGGTAGGGTCTGGTGAAAGAGTTATAAATTGTAAAGAGAAATCCTCTCAGCACATGGGTTTATTTTTTACAAATCAGAGTCATAATCCCTCTGTTCTCTTTTAGTCTTTTATAATATATTTCTTTTTCTTATTCATTTTTGTACAAGTCTTGCTAAAGCGGAACTTCCAGCATTTCTATTGTAGTTGTCCTGCTCAGTGCTCATTTATGTTTTGGCTCTGGTCTCTTTTCTGGGTTTTATGTAGGCAGTGTAAATATTTATGAAACGTTTGCTCTTTTGTTTTGACTACGAAATGCAGATGGAATGGTATAATATTTGGCTTGATGCACTAAATAATTTTGGGAGGTTGTATCAAGGGAGAGATGCATCTGAGATAATTGAGATCAAAGCTTTAAAGGTATCTAATCATCAGATAAGTTTCCACTCCACATAAAAGAAAGTAGGTTTAGTTACAAATTTTTGCCCTACATATTTTTCCTGAAATTTTGTAAATTTCCCCTGTATTTCTAGTTACTAAAAGGGAAGGATCAAGACCTAAAGCTACATCTGGAAAAAGTATTAAAGTCTGGAGACTACAGTGGTTTTCAAGCAGAATGTCTCACAGACACATGGATTGGAAAGGACAGGTTCAGTTTTGCTTGCTTCACATAATGCCAATTTTTCAGCCATATGCATCTCTTCCTGTTTACATTCATTAGTGTTTTGTACCAGATGGGCATTTATTGATTTAAGTGCAGGTCCCTTCTCATGGGGACCTGCTGTTGGTGGAGAAGGTGTTCGTACAGAAGCAAGTTTACCAAGTGTTGAAAAGACGATTGGTTCAGCTTCAGGTAGTAATGATGTTTTTAATTGTGTGTGCATAATGTATACAGCCGTAAATCATACTTTTGATAATCACAGCTAAAAAGCCAAAGCTTGCAACTAACTACCTATATATATAAAAGAAAATGTATAAGAGGATATATACAAATTTTGCTTTCTCGTATATGTATAATCCAAGAGATCCAGAAATAAAGATGCAAGACTGATTAACTAAAGAAACATCAGCAGTTCAATTAAAATAAACATTGGCAATGACAATATTTCACCTGGAATTATAAAATTATGTATTTTATAAGGCTTCACTCTAAACAAGTTAGAAAGCGATTACTAAAATCGGAAGCTACTTGTCCAGTACCCAACACTTTACCTCAAGGTGCTAGCTACAAGTACCATCTTAAGCATGACTCATTGGATTCCAATTGATTAAAACTGTTGCGAGAACCCTTGGGGAAAGCCCTTTATGTGTTAATGAGTAGAGAACTTGAGAATAAGTTTGTACAAGAAGATAATCTTTATTAATATGAATTTTTTGTAATTGATACAATGAGAAAGTTAGTACAGAGAGGTATTCATATGAGTAAGCATGGATTAACAGAAAGCCTAACTGAATTATCTGGACTGGTTATCAATTCAGTAAAGGCATTGGATAGTGTGTCACTGATTGATCTGCATGAATTCATATGTAATTAAATATATAAATATAATTTTAAATTTAATATATGCTATAAAAATTATTTAAGTCGTGTACATTTTAATTAAGCGCACTGGTTTAGTGGTCACTGAGGTTTCAAACATACAGAGAATAGAGATACGTGAGTTCATAATCCCACATCCCTAAAAAAGTTTCATTTTTTTGAATTTTAGTAGACTTGCCATCCTGTGTTGGGTGGCATGCAAGGGCTGTGGGATAGCTTGAACAATTGCACTTCACATGGGCAAGCAGCAGACATTGGAATTGGAAAGCACGCATGGGACAGCAAGTAGTGGGATTTCATATGTTTAAAATAAAAAATAAAAAAACAGATTAACTGGTCCAGAGTTGTAGCTCACAGATACACTGGTTCATTCAGCAAGCTGACTGGTAAAACACTGATCTGGACACAGCTGTCCATGTGACAGCTATGCAATTAACCTAACAAACTAACCACCAACCAGAGACAGGAAGACAACTGCTCTTAATACATCATTCACAAAAGCCTGACTAAATTTTACACTATTGCTCTTATAAGTAAAAGATAACGGCTGGACTGCATTGTATAATGTGCAGTTCAAAGTTACAGCTGTCGGAAACTTTTAGTTAGTATAAGGTCGTCCATCTTCTCTTTTATGAAGTTCTTATGAATCTCTATGTGTTTTGTTCTATCATGTTAAACTGGGTTATGAGCAATGCTAATAGCCAAGTTGTTATCACAAAACAACTTCATAGGATCCCCATATTTAACTTTAAGGTCATCAAAAATAATTTTCATCCACACTCCCTAACATATGCCCTGGGCCATTAACTACATTCTACTTCTTGTTTCTCCATGTTACCAGGTTCCCACCAAGAAACATGCAATATTCGAAAATGGATCTTCTGTCTGACTAATCCTGTTTAGTTAGCATCAAATGTATATTTCCATGGATAATGGACCTTCTGATTTAAATAATAGTCCTTCCCTGGAGTTGCCTTTAGACACTAAAGTATCCTTTCAATTGCTTGAAGGTGTTTCTCGTAGGAGTCATGCATAAATTGGTTGAACACACTAATGACATAATCCTGTATAGTGATTTGAAGGACTTACTCATGGAACGAAAGAGGGCCTGGAAACAATTTACTTGCTCCTTGATGAAAATTCAAATATCCTAGTGAATACGGATGCATGAACTGGCGATGAAAAGTGTTGATGAACAGTATTGAATGAATGATGTGCGGTGAACAACTAGTCTCGTAGCGATGATGGTGACAGACAATAACATTGGTATTAAGCAGCAAAAACAGAACTCTCAAGATCTAGAGCTCTAATACCAAATTGGAAAAAAAAAGGAAACTACATATTAATTGTGTACTTGTTACATTTCCTAATCTCCCTTTTTATAAGGCAAGTGACTATGCTTAAAAAGGAAGTAACAATAATAAATAGGAAAACAAATATATGAAGATATTTAGAGTTGTTTTTTATCTCCTAAATATCTATTATTTTTACAATAGTTACTATTTATGCATACGTTCTCAAGCTCGTGCATGTAAATAACATGCACTTAGTTTTTTATAGTCTAGCTAAATGGATAACTTCTACACAATGGATAAGGCTACTTATCAGGCACTATCTAGTTAATGTAAGATAAGGGGTACCTAAGTTTTATAAGTTCTTATCAGGCACTATCTAGTTCATGTAAGACTTGGGTTCTTCCCAATACACCCCCTCATCGTTTGCATTATTGGGCTTAATGTGTGGAATTGTGGATAATATGGTGGGTGATATTCTAATAGATCTAGGATAGGCTCTAAAACTATCTTAGATTTTAAGGCCCGAGCTTTATAAGCTTGTTATTAGGAACTATTGGGACTTGGGTTTTCTGATTTTCTTCCCAATTGTGATAAAGAAAAAGAAAAATATGGTCAACCTCTTTGATATAGTATGTTATCTTATAAATTTGAATCCTATTTATTCAGTTCATCATGCATAGTTAACTCAGGATGCCATGTTATATTTCACACGCATTTTGATCCTTTTCTTTGTTGATTGCAGAAATTTCTGAACAAGAAGCTGAAGATCGACTGCAAGATGCTATTCAGGAGAAATTTGCTGTATTTGGTGATGTATGTATCATATGTCAGATCTAACAATAGTTGCATATTCCATTTGATTTCCTAAGAACAAGGTTCCAAAGAGTTGTAGAAAATTGTAAATTGTAAATACTTGTCAGAATCCTATCTCATACACTGCTGATACTGAAAACAAAAGAGGCAAGAAAGTTTTTGTGGTTTAACTGAAATGATTGAGGATGAGAAAAAAGAGTTGTGATCGCAATAAAGAACACTTCAATGTTATGCTTATCTGAAGCTGATAGTAATTTTATTTAGTGTTTTTAGACTTCAATATCATTGGAAATTGGAATGTTAATTACAATGTTGAGAGGAATGTAGGCATCCAACATGTTTAACAAATGTCCTCCTTTCTATTGGAGTCTCAAAGTGGGTCAATTGTTACTTTCAATGTTGCAGAAAGAACACCAGGCCATTGATATTCTTTTAGCTGAGATTGATATATATGAGCTTTTTGCTTTTAAACATTGCAAGGGAAGGAAAGTCAAGCTTGCTCTTTGTGAAGGTAAATCTTATTTTGTAGCTTTTGGACTTTATTTTCTAAATTGAACTTTAAATATGTCTAATCCCTTTTCATTTCAGTAAAATAAAAAATAAAAAAATCCTTGAATTTCCTATAAAATCTTGCTTTGTGAACATGTGGGCTAGGAAATGATAATTACAACTCAGGATACAAACACTATGCGTCATTGACACTATGATGCAGCAAACTTTGAAAGTTACATGACCCAACATGGTTCGAAAATAATATATGTACTTTTGTAGTTTATATATTGAGACCAATATAAACACAAATCTTAAAGATATATTTAAGATGTAAACAAAAATGCAAATCTTCTCTTCCCTTATTAGAGTTGAAAGAGAGAATATTATCAATTTGTATCATACTCATTACATTCTTCTCTTCCCCTATTATAAAGATACATTTGTCCCTAAAACAGGTAACTATGAAAATACTTAAATATGAATAATTTCTTATTATTCTGAATTGATGGGTACAATCAAATAAATAGACAATTAACAGAAACAATCCCTAAAGTTTAGGGATTAAGATAAACTATAAATTAGAATATCTTAACAAAAATAAATAAATATAAAAGAAATAAAAAAAGATCATATCAAATCTCCTAAGATATTTTTGTTTACAACACTCCCCCTCAAGTTGTTAATGAATATCAATCATTCCCAACTTGCCTATCAACTCTTGAAATCTGCTAGTAGGTAGTCCCTTAGTGAATACATCTACCACTTGAAGTCTTGTAGGGACATGAGTTGTAACAATAAGACCACTATCCAACTTCTCTTTAATGAAATGTTTGTCTATCTCAATATGCTTGGTCTTGTCATGTTGAACCAGCTTATGAGCAATGTTGATGGCTGACTTGTCACAAAACAACTTGATAGGTAGCTCAATTTGAATTCTAAGGTCATCAAGAATAATCTTCAACCATAGCCCTTCACATATGTCATGTGCCAAGGCTCGAAATTCAGCAATTGCACTAGGCCGAGTAACTACATTCTGTTTCTTACTCCTCCAAGTCACAAAATTTCCCCCTAAGAACATGCGATATCCAGAAGTAGATCTCTTATCTGCGACCGACCTTGTGTAGTCTGCATCAGTATATATTTCCATAGACATGGTGTCTCCTCTTTTGAATAGTAATCCCTTCCCTGGACTTGATTTCAAGTACTGAAGGATCCTGTCAACTGTCTGCATTTGCCTTTCACAAGATTCATGCATGAATTGACTAACAACACTCACAACATAAACAATGTTTGGTCTAGTGTGTGATAGATAAATTAGTTTCCCTACAAATTTTTTACATTGATGTTTTTCCACTGGTGGACTTTCTTCTCTTCCAATTCCGTGATTTTGTTTAATTGGAACTCTCGAGGTTTCGCACCCCAACTTTTTTGTTTCTTTAAGATGATCAAGGACATTTTCTTTAACAGATAAATATGCCCTTCTTAGAATAAGCGACTTCAATTCCCAAGAAATACTTTAATCTTCCCAAGTCTTTCATCTTAAACTATGTTGCCAATTTTTTCTTCTTCATCACCTGCAATGATCATGTCGTCTAAATAGACTAAAAGTATTGTCAATTTACCATTAGGGGAATGTTTTATAAACAAAGTATGATCCCTTTGACTTTATTTATATCCCAAAGAAATCATTGTCTGGGTAAATCTCCCAAACCATGCTCGTGGAGATTTCCACAGTCCATACAAGGCCTTTTTTAATCTACATACTTTATTTTCTTTCGTTGAAACCCCAAATCTAGGGGAGATTTCCATGTAAACTTCTTCTAAATTTCCATGCAAGAAAGTATTCTTTACATCAAATTGTTGTAAGTCCCAACCAAAATGAGTTGCAATGGAAAGTATAACTCATACTGTATTTATCTTTGTCACTGGTGCAAATGTCTCCTCATAGTCTATCCCATAAGTCTGTGTGCACCCTTTGCTACCAATCTTTGTATCTTTCTATTGTCCCATTAGTTATGTGCTTTACTGTGAATATTCATCTGCATCCTACATCCTTCTTGTCTCTAGGTCTGTCTACAATCTCCCATGTTGAGTTATTTTCCAATGTCTTCATTTCTTCTTTTATGGATAGAACCCATTGTTCTTCTCTCATAGCTTCTTGGACTGAAGTTGGGATATCTACTAAATCAATGGTAGCTATAAAACTTTGATGTTAAGCAAACAAGTTGTTAGTACAAACATTGTGAAACAGGATATTTAACATAAGATCTTTTCCTTTTCCTCAAAGCAATAGGAATATGAGTATCATCATTAACACTTACTACCTCCAAATTACCTTCAGGATCACTTACCTCTGAGTTAGATGATTCCTCTTGCTGTGGAACTAAGGTGGATTGTTTCTTCCTTTGATATTTTATGCCAAAGAACTTATCTTCCTCTTCTTCATTTTGGACATCCTGTAGAGACAAAAATGGTAATAACTCTAAGAAAGACTTGTCTTCAGGCTCCAAATTTTTCTTCTCTTGAAGCCAAGGTACAAAAATGATAACATTTGTACCCCTTTTTATTTGAAGGGTAACCAACAAAGACACATTTGATTGCTCTCGGATCTAGTTTACCTCTATGAGGACAATGTGAATGGACATAAGCAACACAACCAAAAACATGACAAGGTAAAGTTGACATCAATGTGGAAGAAGGAACCAATGATTGTAACAATTCAATAGAGCTAACACCATTAAGGATTCAAGTGGGTAAGTTGTTTATGAGATAGGTAGAGGTTAGGACAACTCCCCAGAAAGTGTTAGGAACAAATATTTGGAAGAGTAAGGCTCTGGTAACTTCTAAGAGATGACGATTTTTCCTTTCTACAACCCCATTTTGTTGAGGGGTATTAACAATGAATTAAATCAAATGGGAAAGAACTCTTATTACCACTAATTGGAAAAGAAGAACGATGGTGTTTAGACAATCAACAAACATCACTATTGAATGATTCAATAGAAATTTTTGTAAAAAAATGTGGAAACAAGGATTTAATAAGACTAAAAGGAGGATGTCCAAGCCTCTTATGTTGAAGCCATATTTAAGAGGTGGCCCAAGTATCAATTTTTGCATGGTGACTTAAGGTTGATTCCATGTTCTTATCACCATTCCCTTTACGTCGGAGACGTGGGTGTGTGGCCTACACGCACTGGGAAGAAGAGATGGATTCTAGCGGTATGTGAGGAGGTTGTTGACCATGCAACTCACGACATTGTGATCGTACGATGATGGGCACTCCTTTTTGTCTTACAGCTGACATCAACGACGGTGATGGTGGTGACGGCGGCGGCAATGCTGGCAACGACAACGAAGGTGGTAGCGTCTTAGTTTTTTTTTTTAGAGCAGCGAAAATAGAGCTCCCAAGATCGGGAGCTCTGATACTAAATGTTGAAAGAGAGATTATTATTAATTTGTATTGTACTCATTACATTCCTCTCTTCCCCTATTATAGGGATACATTTGTCCCTAAAATAGGTAACTATGTAAATAAATAAATATAAAAGAAATAAGAAAAGATTATATCAAATCTCCTAAGATATTTTTATTCACAACATTTAGTATAATAATTCAACAAGTATTAGTTAAAATTGTAGTATAGAGGTTATGAGTATCGCATAGGTGTTCAAGAAATGTTGAACATGTGTGACACCAATATGGTAATCATCTGTGCTTCCCTGCTAGTGAGATGTTCTCATCAATCTTTTCATATATATATATATATGTGTGTGTGTGTGTGTGTGTGTGTGTGTGTGTGTGTGTTTGTGTGTGCAGTTCTCTCTCTCTCTATCTCTCTCTCTCTCTCTCTTGTCTAACTATCAAAAGTTGTAGATTTCACAACATAGTGTTAGTGGGTTTTAAATTCATGTTATTGTAGTTTTTCGTACATCTTGTAACACATGATGATTTCAGAACTTGATGAGAGGATGCGGGATTTGAGAAATGAGCTGCAGTCATTTGAAGGTGAAGAATATGATGAAAGTCACAAGAAAAAGGCCTTAGAAGCTTTGAAACGGATGGAGGGCTGGAATCTATTCAGTGACACATATGAGGTCTCAGCCAATTGAGCTTTGTTAATTTAGTATTATTACGCTATCTTTTTTGTGGTTTAAAGTTGTGTTTGGACCTCAGTATTAGCTTCATTCATGGAATTGTTCCTGTGCAGGAGTTCCAAAATTACACAGTTGCACGTGATTCTTTTCTTGCACATCTAGGTGCAACACTGTGGGGATCTATGAGACATATCGTGTCACCTTCGATTGCTGATGGTGCCTTCCATTATTATGAGAAGATATCCTTTCAGTTGTTTTTCATGACTCAGGAGGTAAGATGTGTGTTCTATCATTTGAAAAGGCTTGCAACAGTGGAATATTGATGTTGCCCATGTAATAATTTTTGCAGAAAGTTAGGCACATTAAACAGCTTCCTGTGGATATGAAGGCTATAATGGATGGGCTTTCCTCATTGATGGTTCCTTCTCAGAAATCAATGTTCAGTCCACACCTGTATGCAGCCATTAATTTTTAGTTCTTCCCTTTCCTTTGCTAACCTATATAGGCATTTGGTTGGTGAAATATATTTTTAGCACAATGCTATGTACCTGATTTATCGTGTTCCTTTAAAATTGTGCATTTTCCTATTTTTCTTCTTACATAACTACGGTTTTAGGTTGCCTCTGTCGGAGGATCCTGCCCTAGCAATGGCCTTTGCAGTTGCACGACGAGCAGCTGCTGTGCCATTACTGCTTGTCAATGGAACCTACCGAAAGACAGTTCGTACGTATCTTGATTCTTCTATTCTGCAGTATCAATTGCAAAGGCTGAATAAGCATGGTTCTCTTAAAGGTCTTTCTTATATCCTTAAACCCTTGTGTTTCAGAGTTTCATTTGTATGTCCATGGAAAAAACAAGAATAGATTGGGCAATCTTCTTGAATTTGAAGAAAATAGGGAGGAAATGAAAAGAAAATGTATTTTGTCCATTGATACGTGCATATGCTCCCCGTTCTATTTTCATCCATCCCACTTTTTTATTCTAAGCAAATTTGATGGAATTAGACAGTTAGAGAATTAGAGATGAGATTAGGATGACCTTTGCACACAGCCTAGAATATACTCGACATTATGAATTAGTTGCTGAAAAGCAAGTATGGCATACCTTATTTGGGATGAATGTAGCATTAGTCCTAAATATTTCATTAGTTTGCTTGTATCTTCGGCACTTGGTAGCTTGGAGGTTCAAGTTCTCGTGTTTGCTTTGCCAAGTGACCAAAAGTCTGTAGCATCTAGCATGCACTATTTGTAATGAATTGGGAGTCATGGGTTGGTGCAGCTACTGTTGTATATTAATTGGGGTTTGTCTTATAGTATCTGGGGTATAATAATGTGCGTAACATATTGTGAAATATTAGGGATTAACAAGGACTTTCTGCAACTAGCATGTAGGGATTGACTATTTTTTTGGGCATAGTTTGAAGACGATTTCTTTTATTTTCTTTTCACTGGAATTTTGAAATGTTTTTTTTTTTTGTTTTTCTTTTATCTTGATATTCTGGTAATTGACAAATATAATAATACTTATGAACAATGCAGGTAGGCATGCGCATTCCAGGTCTGTGCTAGAGGTTCCAGTCTTTTGGTTCATTTACAATGAACCGCTTTTACTAGACAAATATTTTCAGGCAAAAGCACTGTCTGACATGATTATTGTCGTTCAGTCAGAGCCCTCTTCCTGGGAAAGCCATCTACATTGTAATGGGCATTCACTTCTACTGAACTTGAGGTAAGATTCAGAAACCTACCTCAACTTTTTAAAATGGCTTATTCATCTATCTTGCAAAGCAGTTTTTTTAATTTTTGAGGTAATTTGTTGATGATGGAGCAAAATATTAAAGATGTTAAGAAATGTGTGATCATCTTAATCATAGGCCTTACATTTTCGATTTTTATGTCAAAGCATTGTATTTTATTGATTTGACCAAGGAAGGGGAAGAAGTGAACTTCTCTATAAATTTATGTTGTGTTAAGTCCTGTTGTGCTACAGTATTATTATTCATGAAATAATTGTGCAGAAGTTGTTCATCGAATATCGATCAATAAAACTTTATTTGAACAATTGTGATAATACCTTTATTTATTGTACAAAAATCCACTCATTAGTTCTTTCATGATTCATCCTTAATCTGAGCAATAAATAAAGGCAGCCTATAAAAGCTGCTGTTGCTGCCACTGCTGAGCATCTTGCTGGTTTGCTTCCCCTTCATCTTGTCTATGGTCAGGCCCATGAGACTGCAATTGAGGTACATTTTATGTCCAATTATTGGACTCCAATCTATTTCTCTGATGCATATAGTGTTTTAGGTTTAATCTGATCCGGATATCTTTCATTTGTTTTCAGTTCTTGTGCATCGACTTTATGGGTGTATGTGACCCTTAAAATGCAAAAATTCAGTTAATTTTTACCATACCCCTACCCTGCAATTTTCCCCCATCCCTCAAATACAAAAGGAACATACAATGCTAAACCACTTCTTCAATTTATTCTGGTCACAGATGCTTAACGCCTTTATCAACAATATACATATTCATTTAGAGATTAGCATGTTTGCATTCTGTGTTCCCCAGGTTCCTAGAACAGTCAATGTCTATATGCTAAATTTAACTTCATTATCAAGTTTTGTTAAACCACCATGTCATAAGATTTATCTCTCAACATGGCAGGACTGGTTATGGTCAGTAGGGTGCAACCCTTTCTCCATTACATCACAAGGTTGGCACATTTCACAGTTCCAGTCTGATTCAATTGCTCGGAGTTATGTCATCACTACCCTTGAAGAATCAATACAAATGGTTAATTCTGCCATTCATCTTCTCCTAATGGAGCGTACTAGTATCCTTGTTGTGTAGCATTGCATCCATTTAATGATAGAGAAATTACTGTTTCAAAGGCATCAATGAGATCATAATAGGAATGTGCCTAATTCTTTATTTCTGCAATCTCTTATCTTTGCTCTCTCTAAAGAGTTATTTCTTTATCAATATCTGCATCCAAAAATTAAGATAAAAATGATATATATATATATATATAGAGAGAGAGAGAGATTATGTGGGGTCTATATCCTAGGCAAAAGAGTAAATAGTGCTACTTCCATAATGCTAATTCTTATGAAAACTAAATGCATTTAACATGTGATGCATGAACTCCTATAATGGTGATACATGAAGGTTGTTATTGTAACACTTCGTCAGGATAATTAATATGCATCCACTAAACTCAGTTGAAAAGACAACGTAAGGCTTGATTAGGCCAAAAAAGACAACTGAACACTTAACAGTGGCTTGAGATTGACTGCTGGAGATTTGATGCAGCTGAAGATTTGACAGAGTTCATTGGAAAGTAACTAGAGGTGAAGATGATCAGAAAAATTACCAGAAAGATTCCTGAAAAGAAGTTAGAAAGTTGGCTGAAGCTGTCACTGGCACTGAGAAGGTTGCTTGCCAGAGAAGATCAGTGGTGGAGGAGGCAGGCAGGAAAGAGGTGGAAGCAAGGGTTTTTACACAAGATAAAGTGACTAGAGAGAAGAAATGATAAAAGAAAACTACCAAAGTGAGAGCGAGAAAAGTTTTCCAGAAATCATAAACAGTTCATAGCAGTGGAACTGTGACCGGGACAGATCACATTGCATTGTATTGTACCACTGTTGATACCATGTTGAATTTATGGCCAGATAAAGAGAGAAATAGAGAAAGCGATATGGGATGGAATAGCTTGATTGATATCATGTTGAATTTAGGATGGGATAAATTTACAATTAGTTTTGAACTTTTGTCTAAAACCTTGAGCTCATAGGATAATTGGTTAACTTATATGAAAGCCATCTGTGACCAAGTGGTTATAGGTTCAACCCTTGTTACTTTAATTCAAAGTGATTTTTGGATAAGACAAAATGGTAGGGACCACCCACCATCCATAAGTTAATAAGCATGCCGGCTAATTCTGGTTGAGTAGTATTTTCCTTGGTGTGATAGCTGAATCTTATGGATTGATTGGTTTGTTAGCATGTAATTTTTGTGGTTGCTCACTGCTCCATATTATCACAATGTGTAACAAATTGCAAATGGTGCTTCTCTAACATGTGGACTGATATTGGGAGATAACTTGTCATTTGTCAATGCATTATATCCGGAACATGATGAGGGGAAAATAGTTTGTATCTTGAATAATTAAATGAGTATTTGATATAGTTAATGTGCCATGTGCCTAGATGTCCTCACCCATTGCATTTTCCTTGAGTGAAAAGAAAATATTGAAGTAGATATTATTGAATTAAACAATGTGAGTATTGTAGGCCTTTGTTTTCCTCGAGACAAGATGAGTTATCTGTTTATGAATTCTTAACAAAATCAAGCTGAAAAAACATTCAGGATCTTCCATTCCCAGGAGCATGAGCTTGTTAACAAGTACAATTATGTTGTTAGCCTTTGGAAAAGGGTGAGTGTCAGTTATTTGTAACTGTATTTAATTTACATTCTTTTTCTTAATCAGTTAATTCCATGTGTTATGAATGATGTATTTTCAGGTATCAACTGTCACTGGAGAATTGCGTTATGTTGATTCGTTGAGGCTACTAAACACCTTGGAGGATGCATCCAAAAGGTTGAGCACTATCTTGCAATAAACATTTTTACTGAAAAGAAACAATTATAAAAGAGAGTAAATAGAGAAGATATATATATATATATATATATATATATATATATATATATATATAACAATAAAAAA